GCCATGAGTTGGCAGAGGTGGGGTTTCAAGAAATCCTCTGGGCAGAGTGACCTCTGTTATCCAGTTTGATGACGTCTTCGCTATGGTGGTGCTGTGTCTGTGCACTGGGAGGTGGAAGGGCTCAACAGGGAGCAATGGATACCGCTGGCAGTTCTGTACAGAGCGAATCTCATCTAGGCCCTCACTTGGACAATGTCTCCCTGTTAGTCCCTGGTGCTCCCTGCACGCAGCAAATGAGCACTGGTGCTCAAAGTGAGCATGTCTGTCACTGTGAAAATCACCTTGTGGACGTGGCCCCTTAAAGAGGCTTCTGCTGCTGCTGCTGCCATAGGCTCCATCTCCTTCAGCCACTCGAGACCTGGCAGCCTCGCATCCTACCTTCTGCCATTGCAGGGTGATTTCTTGGATTTCTCTGTAGTTGTATGTTCCTCTAGAGTCCAGGCGATTTTTCCTTGCTGCTGCTCCTTGTTTCCATCACAACTTTGATTTGGTTGCCAGAGGGATGAACAGAGCCTCTATCATCTACACCGTTTTTTTCCCCTCTCCCTCTGGTCTAACTAAGTTATTCTTAAGGCTTTTATAATCCTTTCTGTTGGCATGCATGGTCTTTCTAATTTTTCCCATGTATTCAGTTATTTTAAAATGTCCTAGTCTTTAATTTTTGACTCCCCAAAGGGGGAAAATAAACAAAAAATAAAGGGGAAAAGAAAGGGCATTAGCCTTTTAAATTCCCTGGAAGCAACTTCTGGGGAAGGGAAGGGGTTTAGAAGAATCAGGGGAAGTGCAACAACAATGGCTATCTGCCTCTTTTTCTGTACCTTTGTGGTCAGAAGCAGCAATTGGTGATTAGAGTGCAGATCCAAGATATTTGGAATATATGTTCCTTTTTGCCTACCCTAACTTCCACAAGATATGGGCAAGGTGCTCCAGGAACATGTGCACAGATGCTTGCTATGTGCCTAGAAGTGTGGGATAGGTAGCTGCTACTGTGCTAAAAGTTGAAATTGACCAAAATTAACTGTAATTTACTGGCCAAGGCTTCCCCTGGAAGTTACAAGCCTTCAACAGATTCTAGAATCCCTAGATAGTTATAGCAGACAGATTCTGCTACTGCAGTTGTTGTTTAGGTGGAGAGATGGATTCCTGGTGTGTCCTACCTCACCATCTCCCTAGAATTTTCCTCTAAATTATTTAAAAATTACCATCAAACACATAATATAGTCTCTCTTTAATAAGTTGTTAAAGATAAACACAGCCAGGCACTAGTTAAAGTGGTAAAACAAATTTCAATTAGTAATGTATTATTGCAATAGGGAAAAGCGTCCAGCATGAACTGAACTCTACTTTGATTTGCACAGAGGTGACTGGGCATTTTTAAAAAGAGTGAGGGACTAGAGATGGGGGCAAGCGGGGGCTCAGTAGAGTTAGGAAAGTGAAAAAATTACAAAAAGAAGAAGAAATTGGTCCATGTGAAACTCATCTGGGTTTGGTAAGTGACGCTTATTAAAGTCAGGCTTCTACATTTCCCAGAGGCTGGGAGACAGGGACCCTACCTTTAGGTGTTAGCTAGAACAGTAAGTTATTGTGGCAGCCTTGAGTTTTCCTAGACTGGCACTCTAAGGAAGGCTGGGGTCATCATGAGGATGTGGCCTTGAGCTGTTAGAAACTATGTCAGCATTTGTTTAAGTCTTTATAGACCAAGTTGAGGCTTGGTTGAGAAGAGGGCTCAGAGGATCCTGGCTAGAGTTTGTTCAAAGAGAGAATCTTTGTCCAAATAAAACTGCAGATTGAGCTGAAGTTCCCAATCTTATTTACTTCATGCTTCTCTGAGTTAATCAGAATTCTGTTATTGGGGTAGGTGAATCTCTTTCCGAATTTTGAATGCACACACACACACGTTCTATATGTGTGTGTCTAGGTATGTATTCATAGGAAATATACATGTTAACAAAACCATGTCTACTGGTTTTACTGAACAAGACATTCCAAGAATCTTTCCATGATAGTAGCTTTTTTTATTTAAGCATGGTAATCTATAGTGTGACTATTCTGTAGTCATTATGGTTTCCTACTGAGGGCTATTTAGCTTGTTTCCAATTTCTATTGGAACTGTAATAAACCAGATACCAATAAACATGCTCATGAATGCCTCCTTGAAGTGTATCTTGAATAAAGACATGGAATGGTGGGATTACTGAGTCCTTGAGCATGCATTTAACGTTTTAATAGATGCCACCAAATTGCCTTTTTAAAGCAGCCCAATCCACTCACACTCCCACCAGCTGGGTAAGAGTGTTTATTTTTCACACCTTTCCTAGCACTGATTGGAATCGAACTTCCTACTTGCTAATTTGCTCCATCAAAACCAGTCACTTCATTTGATCTTTTCCACTGGCCATCTGTATTTCCTTTTCTGGGACCCAGACCAAATCCGCGGATACTAAAATGACTTCTGATTGGATTCTGCATTCTTTCCATGGCTTTGGCTGTGGGGTCACAGCTCTAGAGTCCTGCTAATAGCAGAATGGAGAGAGCTAAGAGCAAGTGGCAGAGAGAGTGAGGTTCCACCTCCCTCCTCTGCAGCTGGAACTGAAACTAGGAGGCTACCAGGCGGGCCCAGACTCCAGAGTCCAAAGTCTTGGCAAGGTGTATTCTCTATCCAGTTTTGCTAGTTGTTGGTGGAGGCATGGGAGTGGGGAAGACATTGTCCTACGAACTGTTCTGAGTGCACCAGGGGTTGGGGAGGGTGGGGGAGGGTGTGTGTTGGCCATCAGCAGCTCTTTCTGTCTGATACCTCCTGGGCTTGTCTTATCTTCTCTGTGTCCCTTCTCATATGGTGAAGTCAGATATGAGGAGGAAGGGAGAAATGAGATGAGGTGGGGCAGTGCAAAGGTCAAGGAAGCTATGCTCAGCCTCCCCATTCAGCCAGGGAGATAAGGACTTCCAGTTAGAGCTGGGTGCTGCTGTGCACACTGTAGTCGCCTACTTGCTGCTGTCCCCTGAACTGGTGACTGCTCTGCCCCCAGCTCCTACCACACCAGGCTCATGCAGTTGCTTGGACTTCTCGGTCTCCTATGGATGCTCAGTGTTTCTTTGGGAACCACAGGTGAGGGGATGAGGTGGGAGGGAGGGATGGAGAGACCCTTTTGATGTTCCAGGGCAGGGATGTTGCAGGGGGTGAGTGGTGGCTCTGAGGCCTAAGGGGAGGATGAGAAAGAGTCCCTCAGAGCTCTGCCTTCAGGGAAAACTGAGGCAGGGGAGAAGAGGGGAGTTGGGTTCAGCTAGTACTGCTCTTTACCTAGGACTGAGCAAGTTGTAGGGGTCTGTGCTCAAATCAGGAGGATGGAAATAACCTCTTTCTGGAGAGTGCTCTTCCACTTTGATTCAGTTTTCTGAGCCCATTCCTTTTCTGTCGCCCATTCGCCCCCACCCAGTCCTGGGGGCAGTGTTCCCTCCCCCGTGGACTCTGTCCTTCCCTTCACTTCCATCCCCACCACCCTCCTTTGAGTTCTTCCTCTTCCCCTGGGTGCCCTCCTTTCCCTGGGGTATCTCTGACTTTGGTCTCTGGTACCCCCTCTTCAGTTCTCCCCCTAACTTTCCCAACACCCATTGGGCCCATGTTTCTGGGCACAGTTGTCATTGGCAAGGCTAGTGTAGGGGATCTTGAAGTATCCTTTGTTCTCAAAGGGTGGGTCTGAGACCAGAGGTATGAGATCCTGGGTCTTCTCTCTCTCACCCTTTGGGAATCCCACAATTCCTCTGCCTCCAAGCATCTGCTCCTAACCCCAAATTCTAGACTTTCCCGACCCAGAGGCCCCTAGACTTTCTCTCACTTACCTCCAGGGCTACCTACTGGCTGTAAGGGCTCTAGCCCAAGAATCTTCATACTCTCTCCACTTTCTTGACACCCCCAAGCTAGGCTGAGAGGTGGGCCAAAGGGTGGTGGCAGAAACCCTAGCTCTCAGAGTAAAGATGCTCTGGGTCCAAGGTAAGGAAACAACTAACCCTGAGAGAACAGGTAGCCTGGGCCTTTTCTGCTTGCAAATGACATGGTTGAATGAGTCTTCCCACCATTCCTCCCCCACATTAGAAGACCTCTGACCCTCACTCTTACCACACGTAAAATGAGGTTGATGATACTTATAGAGTGAGGGGTTCATGTTTGTAAACTAATTTATCCAGTGTCCAAAATAGAGTAGGTAATAGAAGGTATGTCTATTTTTTTTTTATAAACACTCACAAATAAACCTTAAGGTCTCTGGGATTCATGCCAGCCTGCTGAGGTATCTGCTTCTGGAAATTTCTTTCTCTGTCCTGTCCTTCAGCCTGTGTTGTCCCTCAGTCTCAATAGAGTCAGCTTCGGTCTCTGGTTTGCCCTTTGCTGTTCGTTATGAAGCTTTCTCTTGTCTGACTCCTCTTCTCCTGGGGTCCATGATATGTCCTCACTCCCAGCCCCACTTTGGCTGGGTTCTCTCTCTTTTTGAAAAGGAGAGTTATCCCAGACAGCACTGAGTCACAGGGAAAGGGGCAGAGGTAGAACAGAGTGGGGGACAGGGCAGAGAGCCAGCAGGGACAAGGACTTTGGGAAGCAGGTAGAGAAAGGAGGAGGAAGCAGAGTAAGGGAAGGTGGGGTATGTGAGGGAAAAGTGGTGGGGGTGGTGAGGGAAGGAGGCAAGAGCCTCTAGCTGAACCTAAATGCTCAATACTGCCATCCTAGGGCTGGAAGTTCAGACACTCAGATAATGCAGGCAAGGTACTAGGATGCCCCCCCCACCTCCATACTGCCTCCCTTGAAGAGGCTGCCCTGAGAGGCAGATAGATGTTGGCCTTCAGTACCTGATAAGCCCCAGCCCCAAATTGCCTCTGACTGGGGAATAATTCCTGCCTTCTGTGATATGTATCTGGAAAATGGGGTTGTGACTAACCTATGTGGTATTATGGTGGCCAAAGGACTTACAAATGAATTTGTCTGTTCTATTGCCAATGCAGGAATTTCATCTATGGCCACATCCACCTATAATGAGCTATTCCCCAGTGAAGCAGCAGCCCACACTGCTCTTAGCAACTCCCAACAATCCAAAGGCACAGCAGGGTGGCCACTTAGCAATCCTGAAAATGCTTCTTCCACTCCCAGCAGTAGGGAAAACATACCTATGACTCTCACCACCTCCACCCACTTTAAACCTATTTTTGAAACATTGCTCAAATCTCCAATCAATTCCAAAACCTCAACAATCCCGACATCCAAGTTTGTCATCAAGGCGGAAACCACTCCACCTACCATAATTGTCTATATGGGCTCTACAGAATGCATCCATCCAACAAGACTTGTAATCACCACAACTTACCCCACCACCACTTGCATGGCAATGACCCAAGTGTCCTTCACCAGTTCTTACACAACTGCAGCTGTGACAGGGAAGCCAGGAACAATCATCACCAGTACTTATCCCACAACTGCTACTGAGAGAGTCACTTCAACCATAACCACTTCTCCAATTACCACTGCTCCTAAGAAAACTACCACAACCATGCTCCCACATTCTTCCTCTGTCCCAACCACACTCACAACACTTGATACACTGAACTCTATGACCAGTTACACAAAAAAGACTATTCCTACCACTGTAAGTGTCCATACAACCAAGTCTCCTATGCCAGTAATCACTTCTGGCTCAGCTGCTACCCCTTCTTTAACTACTATGAAAACACAGTTAACAACAGGAACTGATAAGAGTTCCTCATCCACCCTTAGCAGTACATTCATTACTATCACACCTTCAATTCCTAAAACCACCAGTACATTTGAATCATCAAAAACCATGACTCATGATCTGACAACAATCAAAGAATTAACAAGACCAACAACATCAGTTGTATCAGCTTCTACAAAAGCAACCACTGACATCAGTAAACCAACAAAAACTCCTTTAAACACAATAACCTCCACCAAAACAACATTTAATCCAAAGAGTGACACTACAATAAAAACTTTCAACACAGGAATAACATTAACATCTTCAATAAAATCATCAATCACTCCAACAACTACAATGACTTCAACGGAAATGATCAGCTATGAATCCACACAAACACGAACTACCAAAACCACACACCCAACATCCACAACAAAAAAACCACGCTCCACGGCAGCCACAAGCTCAGAAACACCGTCCTCCACTGCAGCCACTACACAGACAGTCAAAACGACAGACACACCTTCTCATGCTACATCCACCTGGAAAACCACCCCTAGTCTCACCAGTGATTCCTCTGCAGAGTCCCTCACAACAGAGATAACGTCTACTCCCCCACTGACATTTTCGATAACTCCCACAAATGCTGTCAGTTCCCCCACTTCTATCACTTCTATTCCAGTGACCACCCTTACTTTGACATCAACCACAAGTGTGCCTCTGACCTCTCCACCTTTCTCTACCACACAGCCGGTTGACACTAGGACAACAACCACAAAACCTGTGTCCACCTTGATCACCTCACTCCCTTCTACTACGTCAATGTCCAGCGCTGTCTCTCCCACTAGTCATGTCAGCACGACCACGACAGAGATTGGTACACACACTGACACTTCGACATCTGCCACCTCGATCACAGCAACGTCCTCTGCTCGCCACACTACGGAAAGGGTCATGACTTCTACCACTGACATGGCAACAACCCCCTCCACGGCCAGAACACAACGTACTCTGGCCGTCACTTCTTCAAACAGCTACTCCACCGCCATTACTCCCTCATCTACACTAAGGCCAGTTTCCTCAACTCCTGGCACTGTGTGGACATCACCGACCAGAATCCCATCTTATGTTAGCACAGAAATCCCTACCAGCACCAGGCAAACAACGACTCCCACATACGCAGGTACCACTGTGCATCCGACTGACATGAATGACCTCACCTCAACACTCATCCCTTCCAGTATGTCGGGAACCCCCACAAATATCTTCACATCATTCCCCACCACCACCACTGCGAAAACAACACTCAGTGTGACTACAACCTCAGTCAGCACGCCTACTCAAGCAAACACACTCACAGTCACCCAGAGCAGTCCAACTCCATCGCTCACTACAAGCAGTCTAGTGACATCTGCTGGCTCC